GTGCTCTGCTCCAGCTCATTTAATTCAACACTAAACCATTCTCTGAATTCCCATTTTATATTTTCATTAAATCATCATGAAGGGCTGTGTGGGGCTTGGTTCCTGACTAACGAACTCAAGAGGGAAACATGGGGCCCAGTACAGCCATATTCAGCTGTACTTGACAGAGGAACAAGTTTACGGATCTAAATGTTGTCACAGACAGGAGGTATGGGGCAGAGAGGTGAAAGAATACAAGATACCTGCGCATTCCCAGTATTAAGTAAAAATGTCTACTCTTAACTGTTGAAAGCAGAAGCAAGGCTGTCCTGGCTCTGAGATGCCTTGAGGAACATGGCCTCTAAGCACAGTTCTCAGGTTATTTTAAGTATCACAATTTATCTCACATCTGATCTTCTCATAAAAAAAGGCCCAGGCACATAACGTTTTAAACATTTTCTTACGTGTGGTTATTTCCAGTTGGCAGGTATGGGTAAATGATAGCAAGACTTGGACAGAACTAATTTCAAATCATGTTTAGAACAAACAGATCTGTTGAAGTGTTTTTTCTCCATTGCAGAAAGAACTTTTCATGTGTGGCCAGTATCTTCACAATGATCTTTCACTGAGCAGTCTTCTTTGGTCCATCACAAAACTCCCATTTAAGAGACATAAACGAATCAACAAAGGGCAAAAGTCTGCAAAGACTAGTTATTTAGGCTAGATTTTAAGCAAATTTAAAACTAACTAATTACTCTGGATGCCTTACTTGAATTACTTGCAAGGGCCTGTAAAACAGACCCCTCTCAGGAATCACAAGTTTGGCTAGCCACACTTTGAAGAAAGCCGGTACTGAACGTAAGTTAATACAGCATTTGCATACATAGCCACCTAAAGCAGGAGACCACAAAGAAGTCAGGAGCATTTTCTTCTGGGAAGCGTTAGTAAAAGGGCACTGTCACCAGGACACTGGTCTTTCATTCAAAAGCAAGTAAGCATATTCTATAGATGCATGTATGAGTTCCTCAGGTAAAAATAAGAAGACAGGCATGAGGTACTCTATCCAGACAGGACAATCTTTCCTTTCTGATTTGGTAACAGCATTTTAAGTAAGGGTCCCAGAAACATCTTGAGCATCACACTGCCTTCCAGTGAGCCACTTCAGCTTACAGAGTGCTGCTGACAGGTTCTCTTCATTCAGAGAGAGAGCTGACAGCCTAACCTTACGCCTTCAGCAAAGTCCAAGTCACATCACTGTGTCGTATTACAGTGTGCACCCCAGAAATAGAATGAGAAACTCCTCATTACTACATTGTCTTCATGAAACGGGGGAGGGGGAAAGTTTCTGAAAGACGAAAACATGTATCTTCCATTGCCTTTTCCTGAAGCTGTTAAGAAAAACTGAGAGGACTTAAAAAATAAAACATTTGCTCTTTGGTCTTGCTTCAAGTTGTTACCTGTGAGTCTTCTAGTCTGGAGGTACCGAAGCATGACAAAACTATTTGTCAGATACCTTTTTGCATTTTGGGGTGAAGAAGAGGAACAAAATAAAACAATGCCTTCTCCAGCACTAACCTAACAGTGAATTTATTAAAGCTTGGCATTAGGGTATATCCTATGTGTCCACCCAGAAAAGTAACAGTTCTCTTGTTCTGCAGATTTTGCCATCCCTTGCAGGAAAGCGGATGGCTGGTGCCAGTGGGGCTCTTTCTAGCTGTGTTTTCTAGCTACAAACGTAAAACGGGGCCCCTTGTTGGTTCCATTTTGTATGCACTACCTGCTTTCAGTTGGCTTATAGAATATGTACATACAAAGTTACAACTGCCTCAGAGGTCCGGGGACCTGACAAACAAGAACAGAAACTGCAGAGGCAGGAAGCCTGTTGAAAGAGCGATTACTAGCATGCCTCAAGTATATAAGGCACTTGTAACACAATATGTTCTCCAGAAGACTCTTGTATACTGTGATCAAATGCAAACATAGTTTTGGAGTACAGTTACGCTTGAAGCCACTACTCTCTTCCTCCGTATCGGAGGTGGTCCCATACCTAGTGTACCAACACTTCTGTAGGACCAAATTGGGTGGGACAGGGTGGGGCTCTTATATATGATGTTTTTCATGCAGAAACAGAGAATCTGATCTTTTGAATCATACGTGAAACCATTTTCCTCCCAAAACCATGCACAAAATGACCAAGACAAAGAGTTTAAGTGATACTCACGCGGCATGATCCCTTGGCTCACCAGCTCCTCCCGTGTGCGTCGTTGCTGGAGCTTCAACTGCAGCACTGCACAACAGCAGAGAGGGGGAAGAGAAAGAAACTCATCAGTGCAAGAAACTGAAGAGATATTTGCAAACGCATCTTGTTTTCTTCTTTGGACTTCAAGGCACTAGCAAGCAGCTGAACGCGAAGATCCCCCCTCCCACCCTGCTCCCCTGCCCCACTGCAATTGCAGAAGTGGCCTCTAGCAGTCAGGTTTCCGTATTCTTCTGTGGGCAACGGAGAGGAAGTTGCGCAGGGTCTTGCAGGGTGATAAAAATCCGCAAAGCCAGGCCTGTTTCTCAATTCTTTCTAGAGCACCGACTTCTTTCCAAATCATTAATATTAAAAAACAAACAAAGAGAAACACCAGCTGACAGTCCTCCAATAAACACAGAGTGACACCTCAGCTGCTAATGACTCCTGAAAGCTCTAATTACCATGTGCAGATTAAACTGATATGACAAAAATTATTGGTCATTACTCTAAATTAGAAGGCTGATTTCCTTCTTCAACTCAGAAATTCACCTTCAGAAACATCTCATGAAAATGAAATATCATGAAATATCCAGCAGTGTCCTTATTTCAACAACAAAAGGAATCCCTTATTGCTAGAATTTTTAACACTTATTTTAGCATAACAGAACATATTCATGACCTGTGTGAAATGCAAATTTTTTTTTCTAAAGCAAATCTCCAGACTAGTCAGTGGTCATCATTTCAACATTTAAACAGCAGCATCCCTTTAACCTATACAATCAAAACAACTTTATAGAGATTGTTCTCGCAGTCAAATACAGCTTCCATATGAAAGGGACCTTTCGGAACTGAAGAAAAAGATCATATGCGTGTGTGTGCTTACCCACATCAATCAATTTAGGACAACCTGAGTGAACATTAATAGATACTGAATCCCATTGGCAATCAAGCCTAAGGTCCTAAATATACTCAACATAAAACATTATAAAATGAATGGCATGATGTCTTCCCTGTTTTCAGTTCCTCTGTCAAGCTTATGTCTGTTGTATAGTTCACATAGGAGGGGTCCATATAAACGTAGTGTAACCATCAGAGAGCAAAATTGCTCTACAGCCTACTATGCAATCTTATTATAACCCTTATGCTTCCTTTCTCGAGCAATATTTTTGTTCAATAAATAATTTCATACATTGCATCCAAATTTATACCGTATAATCCCTAAAGTAGGGATCAAAAAAATTAAGCAGAAGATGCCACTTTGTCTACTAACACATCACATTTTACCCGCTTCTTTCAACCACTTATTTGCAGTTTGCATTTGACTGACACAGCTTCCAGTAAGGGTTCTGGTCTTCATATGAAGTTAACAAGAGAACGATAAATTCTTGGGTTGGTTGAAAAGTGGCTAGTCACCCTCACTTAAATGCACACTTACATCTTCACTCGGATTTGTCTAGATTCCACTTCTACTGGCTCTTGATGTACATTTCTATGACAGGCTTATGACCGTGAGAATATATTTCTTACCTGTGGAGGTACTTCCATGCACACACAGTGTGCAACCAAGGTACCTCTCTTCTGTTTCTTAAGCCAAACTAGGATTTCTTAATATATGCATCCTGGGCAGAAAACTACTTCCTTTAGTACAGGGAAGGGGAGGGAGGGAGGGAGGGAGTACAGAGCACCATGCTAATTCTGTGTGGTATCAGCCAAGAGCCAGAGCAAGGAGGAGGGAACACAGAGGGGAAGGAACAGGCTCTTCTTTTGGCCACGAAACTGCAAACAGAAGTGGTAGTCCCAGACTCTTCCTCCCACCCAGCATGCGATCACACTCCTACTTCTGTGCTAGCAAGGGCTAACAGAGTCTCGCGGCTGGCCTGCTCACAGAGCTCCTCATTTGCTGGGTTCGTTTTGAAATGATCAAGACCCGAATGAGGTGATGACACGTCTACACGAGTACTTGATCCAACAGCTTGCTGCGACAGTCAAATCTTTCACTCCCATGTTCCCCTGACTGGTAGCTGGACTCGCTGACACCACAGAGACCACAGCCCAACCAAAACAGGGAATAGTTTTTTGTCTCATTAGTGAGCAAAGGAGGACTACTGTTCAACCAGGTTATTTGCTAACACTAACATAATATGGAGTGAGACTCCATCCTTCCACCAGCAGTGTGCTATGAAGTGATTTCAGCCCTGTGAGATAGCGACACATTAAATCTCCCACTGTACAGCATTATTTCCACTGGTGAGCCAGTAGCCATTTCAGGGACTCACTTCCACACCCTAAACTAGGAAATGTAGTGAGCTACACGCACACAGACAAGGCACAGACCTATAGCATCAGGTCCATCTCCCCAGCTTTAAGTGCAGGTAAATCTTATTATTACTCAGGTCTTCCCATTTACACATCTAGCAATGTTTATATTTGCCCTTTGCTATTTACTTGCTAGGACCATCTACTTTCCCTGCCGTTTCCAAATATACCTACTGCTGTTTACCTTTGACCTCCCAGAGTCAGGGATTTTCAGCTAAAAACTCCCACACACAGGTGTGGCTGGCATTTTTTTGTTCCTTGGTGCATAACTCTCCCCTCACCTGTATTTATGCACAATTTGCCCAACTGTCTCATTTTGCCTAAATGATCTAAACTATTTTTTTTATGTCATTACTTATGCCTCCACTAATCTTTGTTCCATCTGCACCGTTACCATCTTGCATTTGATTCCAGACCACACTGGGCTGATCCCAATTAGAAATGCTTTTCTGCTTTCTTTTATTACAGTCCATTCTTAATCCATTTAAGCAGCACTTCATTAAATTCAAAGATACTTTTTAAACTCAAAATATACCACACTATTAAGTTAAAGATGTTACAAAAGTCTATCACACCCAGAAAAAAAAACAAAACCCTAGCAACCTAATTTCACATATTGAAACAAAATCATACTTGAGCAGACCTGTTTTCACAAATTGAAAAGCTGAATAAGGTGACTGTACTGCTATTCTTATACCATATAAATTCTTCATCAACTTTTCCATAGTTTTTTTCCTGGAACTGATACCAGCTTAGCCACACTTCTCACTCACCCTGTTACAACGGTGAGGCAAAATGTGACTGTTTTTTCACTCTTAAGTCCCCTTGCTGTTCCCAGATTTATCGGAAATCAGTCCCAGCCAGACAGCTAGAAACTTCATCAAATGACTTAAAAATCCCTTCCTGACTTCAGCTTCTCTTATGAATTTTCTAAATATATCTTATTTCTATATCAGTTATCAGCTACTACCCTTTTTCTCTACCCATTATATGAACCTTTTATTTTTAAACACTGTGTCCCTTCACAGCAAGAAACTAGCAGTTGTTGAGAGGACTAAACTGGTGAATAGAAGAAAGGTCATTTTCAGGATACTTTTAATAAGCACTAAGTAATTCCTGGGATTTGTGAATGTACATACATACATAATAAGCACAAGTTATAATCAGCACATAATGCACGTTTTTGCCAATACAGCTTATTTTTGTGGCAGGGAGGAGGGCAGAAAGGATTACTTCAGTTCACTCCTAAATTCATTTTAGCTTAAATAAGTACTTGGAGTTTCCAATGCCATTTCATATATTTAGGGGATCACCTGTTTACGTGTGCAAATGTGTGAATCCTATATATAGATTAACAGATGTCCCAAGAGCCAATCCAAGGCTGTTGTACATGGAGCTCAGCCAAAGGTCTAGAATGACCAGAGAAATTCAAAGTTACTCAAAGACTAGACTGGAGTGTAAGTGTTTCAATCACAAACCAACAATCTTCAGTTTCCTTTATCCCGGTACTTAACCATTAAATTAATTTTCAAATTAAGAATAAATCAGGTCATACAAAGGAAGATATGTATCTGCTGGCTAAAAATAAGATCCATACTGGTACCCTTCTACTCACCTCTTTCAACCAACTTGTGTCACAGTCTAGGCAACACTTTGTGGGCTATGTACGCTTGTCTGATTTTCCCAGTCGAAATTGGGCATAATTTATTTATTTCCTAAATTCTGAAATACAGTTAAAGTTTGAACAAGGCTTTTAAATCTCTAATGAACTGTTCCAAGAATTAGTAAAACATTCCAGAGAAATCTGGGAGATAGTATAGAGGACTGCTGCCAGCAGAGAAGAATTGAGGGGAGAGAATGTACTAGGAGACAAATAACATTGTGATACAGCTACTATCAACTGTTACACTGCTAGTGAAATATAACAAGTCATGATTATTTTTTGTTCATCTCACCATGAAAACGCCTTAATAGGAAACCCACGGGCATATTCCAAGACCAAAGCTTACTTCTGCCTATTCATGGCTGACGGCAGCTCAGGGCAGTATCTACTTGATCCACAGAGGCTGCATCCATACAGACGCTTTCAGGACACTTACGACTCTAGTCATAGTAGTGAGGTGCATTAGCAGTAAGCCGTACTAAGAAGAAATATTTACGATGAGATAAATTGTTTTTTGCAGCTCGTCATCTAGATCTGCAACAGTGTGCCTGCACTTACCCATTCATACCTGAAAATCTTTCTATTTCTAAATCACACTTTGTGTTTCACAGAGTGACTAGAACTACTACAGAACCTAGTTGGCAGCCTTTGCATTGCAGCAACACAAGAGGAAAAGAAAAAAAAATCACCTTAGAGACTCTGTCAAATACCAAGGCAGGTTTACAGTGAATTTAAAAAAAAAATATGTCTGCATTTCCTGTTTTTTGAAAATGAGCGAAGAGAAGCACACAACTCTCAACTGCTGCTTGTGGTGAGGCCACACGTCTGAATACAGACTTACTGCCAAACGGAGTCTGTACAAAATCTTTTCTTCTAAGGAATCCTGAGGGACATCCAAGGTCACCCAACCAAGGTAATGATTAAGCACAGCCACATGGTGGATTGCAACAGACACAGCACAAGCAGTAGCACGGAACAGGGAGGGAGGAAGGCTGCTATAGCCAAACGAAACCCTGTATAGGGGCTGAGGGAGGCAGAATGAGGAATTTAGACTGGGATACCTATGCAA